TATTGTTGTGATTAAGTATTGATTTTTTAAATCTTAGTTTGTAGCATCTAATATTACTCCATGTGGGATCGATATACAGGACTCCATTAGAGCTCTGTATTACTTGAGCGATACACATACTTGTGTTGATAAACTTTGCAATTATTGAATATTTTATACACATTTTTATCGAATCTATAACCATTGTCAAGTTTTTTGTGCCGTTGCCGGGGACTTAAATCTTCCAGCAACAGTATCAAATTCTTGTATTTTTAAGCATATATAAAGTCACTGTCAAGTTTTTTGCGCCATTTCCGGGGACTTAAATCTTCTAGCAACACTATCAAAATCTTGTATTTTTAAGCATATATAAAGTCGTTGTCAATATACATATTAGTTCTTCAATTTTCTTGCTTCTTGAAAGTTTTGTTATGCTAAGAACAATGAAATCTTTCATAATAACAATTGAATCTAATTTATGATAATATAATCATTCAATAAATTTCTTTTCAAGATTTGCATGCTCAAAATTATTGTAAATAAGCCATAAGGACCTTCGAATTTCATGTGACCTTTTTCCTTTCATCTTTATTGTACCGCATGTGTCATTTCCGTCAAACTTCTTGAGATGCCCAGCAAGAGAGCACATGGAGAAAAGCTCATGATAGGGAGGTGTTGATTAGGGTTGTCGGGGGTATGTGGGATATGGCCCAGAAAGAGGTAGAAAAGGACGATGAAGAAAAGGCATGCACGCAAGTGAATTAATAAAAAGGTAGTGAAGAGGAGGAAAACACATGACCAAGAGGACCATATGGGGTCTTCCGATTCACTCTCGGGTTCAATGAGAGGAGATTATGAAGGATGGTCGGTTGATCCTTCTGCAGAATTTTCAAGCTCTGTTGTTAAGTTAGTTGCTCCTCTCAAGGCGCCCATCCTATCTGGTTTTTAAGCATGGATCCCTTCTATCGTCAGGGTTGTTCAACAGATGACAGATACTGACTTGCCGACCAGATCAGTAGGAGGGTTGAACTTCATCTATCGGTCGCGGGACAGGAAAAACCTAGCGAGGTGAAGTGTGGAATCAAATGACTTTTAGTTTTGTTTTAACTTCTAAGTTTTATTTTTTTATATTGCCTTTTTGATGTAGCTACTGAGATCCTAACGATTGACTCCATTTCATTAGATCTTGGGGCTAATCCATTCGGGGAAGTGATTACCGTGGACCAAGTACCTGCTGGCGGTGATAAACTCTGATATGGTATGCAGGAGTCCGATCATCAAGGCAGTTTTGCCAAGGTTTGTGAGGAGGGAGCTGAAGGGCTTCAGATGTCTTATGGACTCTTTGTGCACCACTTGGGTGAAATGAAGTAGTACTTTGCTTATGACACGGTCTAACCCTATGGAGAAGTCTATGGCTTAACTGCTTATGTGAAGATGATGGATCGAAAGGGGAGGCGGTCGCTTTTTGAGGAGAGTTTGTAGCTCTCCAGGAAGAGATTGTGAGCTTGCACTTAAGCTCATGGAAATTCAGAAAGTGTCCTCGTCGTCTTCGGCTCCAAGTGGATATTGGCCAAAGTGATTGCTTTAAGTTAGGTGGTGAGATGTTATATAAGAGGTCTCGGGGGAAGCCGTGAGTGATACTATCACAAAGTACTTCCTTTTGAAATAGCTTTTCGAGAGGCTTTAATGTAACATGCATTTCGTATAAATAAAACAATTTTTTATTTTAATTTTTTTAATTTCATACCTCTAATTTCTTGTTGATTTGGTTGTCATATCAATACGGGTTTGTTTGGGCCAGCTGCAGTTTATCAGCCCCCAGGAAACTACTACTAGGAAGCTGACTGGCTGTTTGTTTCAACTGTTTAAAAATAGTTGTGTAGCTGTTGTTTCTGGACAAATGATCATTCTGCCCCAGTTTAGTAATGTTGTTCATAACAAAACTGTCATAACATGTATTTGATACTTCAGAAGCAGAAATTCACTTCAGAATATCACAAAAGTTTGGATACACACATAACTTAACATCAAGTACCATTAGTGCCCAAAAAAGTAAAAAACTATTAAAATTACAATTAATATAATTATTATATTATTTTTAACATGCATAAGGTGTATGTCCCGTGCTACACTACCCACTAGTAATTCTTTGAGGCTATCTATTTCACTGCATCACTTCATAGATTGTGTGTGTGATTCAAAAATATGCTTTTCTTATCCTAAGAGTGCCCCAAGTGGTATTAATTCTGAGTTTTAGTACCAAAACATGAAATTCTACATATGTTTCTTAGCAGTGAGCACAAATAGGATGGCAAAGATGATATGTTGCTTATTCTCTCAATATTTTCTTATTATATGCCTCAAGAGGTATCAGTAGTTATGCATAATATACTTTCACAACCATATTTTGAGGCTATTTATTTCTATGCTTCGCTTTATTGTGCGCGTGTGATTAAAAAATATGTTTTTCTTTTCATAAGAATGGCACAAAATTCTACATATGTTTCCTAATGGTGAGCATAAAAATGATGGCAAAGATGATCTGTTGCTTTTTCTCACAATAATTTCTCATTATACGCCCAAGAGGTATTAGTAGATATGCATGATATGCTTTCACAATAATTTTTTGAGGCTATCTATTTCCTTTCCTCACTTCAGAGTGTGTGTGTGATTGAAAAATATGCATGTAAAAAACAATCTAAATGCCACGGTTAAGATTGTTCGTGAGCTTTGTATTATTTTTTGTTTCTCCCTGCTCCAGGTCTTTTTCGCCTCTTTTTCTCTCAAATTGCTCCAAATTTCCCAAAGAAAACCTTCAGCTTCATTCTTGTCATCGAAACCTTTGCATTGACGATAAATGAGGTGAAAAAACTTTAAGACACATACATTCTTAGCCCTTCAATTCAGTTTTGATCGGTAGCACAACATGAGCAAGCTACAAACACCTTCGGAGCGGACTTGTTCTTCAATAATATTTGTTCAAGAAAGGTCTTTAGCTATCTTTATTTCAGGAATTGCTATCAATGTTCAACATGTATGGTGTTATTACCGTGCAAGTGATACCGAACTCGATAGCAGCGATCATGGCTTTCATCCTTTTCTGCCAACTGCTGAAGAATTGGTGAAAGATCAAACTTTTGAACCACTTCTTCTCATTTAAGGTTAGTTGTGATATGTATGTCTAGTTCAACACCGGCTATCAGTTTCAACTCTTGGGTCTTTGATGCAGGTGGATTTAGTGTGTTATTTTTGTAAATATTTTTCAATATTAAAAAACATACACGGCAGACACAATAGCAAAAATAACTTCAGTTAAAATAGTTTTATCTTTTAAAAATCCTTAAACTGTCAAATCATCTTTAAAAATAAGACAAGTATATGTATCGTTCAAGTAATAAAGGGCTCTAATGGAATCCTAGATATCGATCCCACAGGAAAGTTGGAAATGTCTATGAATAAGTTCTTAAGATTATAATGTAAAGTACAATTTTAAAAACACAAAAAGTAAAGTGCGAAGTTTGAATACTGAGTAACAAGTGAATGCTTATTAAAATGCAATTGAAAGACAAAGTTAATTAATCTAAATGATAAACTTTTAAAAGTAAATCTACAAAAATTAAAACTAAGATGTTGTGATGGAAAGTTCAAATCGAAGAAAGCATTCTTCTACTTTACAATGAATATATGGATTTTGAAGAAATTAAAATCATTTTAAAAAATATATAAAAACTGTTTTGTGCCAAATAGGAGAAATCCTATTCCTTACCCTCTTCCGAGTGCATAAAGAATATTGAGTAATCCAGAGTTTGGTCTTTAATTCTGTGGTTAGGCTGGGAGGATACCGGCTGGCCCCGCCGAGCGCCCCCCCCCTCCTGTGAGGGCTAACAATCTCACATTAGTTTTCAATCAATAGGACCAAATTGGGGATTTTAATCTGTCACCTTCAAATCTTCAATTTTGCCTCCAATAAAGCATATTTCCCAATTTATTTGCACCCAACGACATGGATGAAATACTCTCCCATTAAATCAAATGTGATTTTCCCCATATTATAGAAATCATAACTCTTTCCGAACATATGTTTCTCAACCATTTTTAACATTTCAATTGGCTAGATCAAAAAGTTATTGAATATTGGAGTTCAAATCATCACAAATTATTGATATTTACAACTGTATAAAATAAAATCAATTCATCACAAAATCATATTTCAAAATATGGAGAAGAATAAAGAAGACTACTCAGAATTCACTCATATTTCAAAGTATGGAGAAGAATAAAGAAGACTACTCAGAATTCATGAGAATGATATGATAAAACACGAATTTCATATATTAAAACATGTTTACAAAATAAAAGAAATAAAAGACACAACTTATCTCACAATCCTTCCCAAGCAAACTTTTAGAAGTTCTCTTCAAGCCTTTCTCTCTTTACAAGCACTCTCAATTCTCTCTTAGAAGTGTAATGAAGAAGAAATCTCTCACATTCCCTCTCTTCTTACAATCCTTGAAGAAAATCTCCAAGCCCTTGACTTTCTCTCTCTCTCTAACTCTCCTATTTGCCTTCATTCCACACACACACAAAACTCACGCCCCCCAAAACTCCTCTTCAAGCTCTAAACTTCCCTCTCTTTTATAAAAGGCCACCACCTTCCAAAAAGAATTCAAAATTCCCCCAAAATTTTGTTACTCTTTTGAATTCAAAAGACATGTCCATTGATGCAAGATACATATCCCTTCATAAAAGAACCTTCCAAAGTGTTTAGATTCATTTAATTACACTAAGGGGTGTTTAGAACAAGTGTCCCTTTGACTGCGCAAAATTTGTCTCGAACAGCCTTAATTCTCAAAAAGTCATCCCTGGCGCATTTGACGCCAAATCTGGTGCGCCATGCGCCAACTCTCTGTCAGATGTCGCATCTGGCGCATCATGCGCCAGTTTGCTGAAGATCGCGTTGTTTAAGCTTTTGGCGCATCTGGCGCCAATCTGGCGTATCATGCGCAAGAATTCAAAACTTTACTGTTTTGGCTCCAAATTTCATCATTTTTGCTACTTTTGCTCCAAATGCCTAAAATTGATATACCTACAACAAAAACATGAAAATACCTTTCTTTAAAGTACAATATCACCAAAAATAAGCATAAAATTTATACTTAAAATAACATATTATTTTGGTGTATCAAAATCCCCCAAACTTAAACGTTACTTGTCAAGTGACACTTTTACTACATAATAATATATGACTTAGGATAGAGACTAACTTATAACTTCTATACTGTATTTAAAAAAATAAAATAGTAAAATTAAAGAAAAATCTTTAATAACATGGATTCAAATTCTAAGTCTAAGAATACTTAACAGTCAATTTTAAGGTTTTTGAATCTCTATTCATTTCGAGAAAAATTGCAATTTATCATATCAATGATATCTAGAATATTCATATAAAAAAGAACTTGAGAAAAACTTTACTAATAATGCTACGAATAATCTAATATAAGTTTAGAAAATGTAATAAAGCTTTTTTCTTAAGTTGATTCAAGTGAAGCCAATTTTTGATTAGGCATCTCCTCAAGCTTCTCTTCACTTATTTTTCTTTTCTTTTCTTTTTCTTTTATTTTTTTAGGATCATTTCAATCCTTTTTTTTCTTTTTTTTCTTTTTTTTTCTTTCCTTTTTTTTCAAGTGAGGAATACTATTTTTGGATAGCCTTTAATAGTTTTGAACTTCACTATCTTCTTCTTAAAGTCAAAACTCCTTGCCTTTCTTCACTTTATAAATTCATATTAGTTTATGATTTTCATAAAATCCTATTCTTTTCCTTTTACATGAAACTCTAAAATTCTTAATACTTCAAAAATATAATTTCCTTTACTTTAAATAGAAAAACTTAGTCTTATCTTATCATACCAAATATCTTTAACTTTAGAATTGTCTTTCACTATTAAAAATTTTTACCTAAATTTATCATAATATTCATAAACTTAGTTATAGTCATTTAAAGTTTAATCTTAATATCTTAGTACATATTAAATTAATTTTAAAAATATTGTTACTTAAGAACAAATAAAATTTAGTTTACTTCTTTTTAAAAGAAAATTTTCTTCCCCCCAAACTTAAGTTTTTAAATATTTTAAAAATGTTTTAGTACAAAATTTAGTTGGTAAAAAAAAATAGAAAATGCATGAAAATAAAAACTAACGTGTAGAAGATTTCTGATTATGAAATTGGGCTATGGTAT